TTCTTAAAAATTTAATGAAATTTTTTTCAAAAATTTAACGAAACTTCTTTTCCTTTGAAAAGATGATAAAAGAAATTGACTTTTGAGAATTTTTAAAATAAACTACCATGGAATGAATTCAGGTTAAATGATATTAAACGATGTCATATTTTGCTTTCAAATAAGAAAATATTTGACATAAGCATCAATCGATGGACTAACTGTACATTATCGTAGAAAATGCTACAGATAATTATTGGAACTATCAAAATGTGATACCTAAATAATGAATTTAACTATTAATTAAAATTTTTTACTTTCTTTTAAATTTAGCTACCATCTCTCTCCCACTCTCTCTCTCTCTCTCTCTCTCTCTCTTTCTTTCTCTCTCACTGTCTTTTAAAAATCTTCTCGAAGGATGCATTTTTCTGATAACAAAAAGATTCGATAAAATTGCTGCTAATAGTGTAAAAGTTGACATAAAATATTTTAGGAATGAAAAAAAAAGGATAAAAAATTTGAATTTTAATCGATTCCATTTATAATTTAAATTTAACCTTTCTTATTTTCTAATTTCTTCTCATTTATTTGGAATTCCTCAATTGTTGCTGCTGCTGCTGCTGTTGTTGTTGTTATTGTAGCTGTTGTTATTGTTGTCGTTGTTGTTGTTATTGTTGTTGTTGTTGTTGTTGTTGTTGTTGTTGTTGTTGTTGTTGTCATTGTTGATATTTGATTGTTGTTATTCATTGTTAATACTTCATCATTTTTAACATCATATTCCGATTCCACTTTCTTTGAGACAGGAGATAATAATGTATTGGGAATTATTGATTGGTCATCTTTACTGCTCATTTCATCATTTGCATAATTTCTTTCAATGAAAGAAATCGCGGTACTAAAACGCGTCTTTTTGCTATCCTTTCGCATTATTATTCCATCTTTACAGGTAAGTTCATCATTATCAATTTCATTCGCATCTTTTGCATCAATTTGCGCTTTTTTCTTGAACATTTCCGGTACTTTACCTGTAGAAGTTTTTTTTTTTTTTAAAAATAAAAAATGCAAAAACAATAAAAAGAAAAAAAAAGACAAAAATGAAAAGATTTCTTATCTCAAAAATGTTTGAGAAAACATTAAATTGAAAAAAAAAAGTGTTTCGTCGTTTTCCTCTCTTTTTTGCTTTTTATTTCTTCGTCAAATTGCACTCAATCAATTACTCAAATTAATGATCCTTTTTAAAATCTTAAAGTAATAAAAAAAAAAGAAAAAAGAAAGGAAAGGACGATATAAAATAATCGGAAATTAAGTACAAATATTTGACCTTAATTTAATTCATTAAAAATAAATGTGCTAAATTTAGAATTAAATTTGTTACGTGCATATTGTATGTTGTATATAAATATATATTAAAGTGATTTTTTTTTCCTTATTGCTATTAATTAATTTAATGAATTAAAAAAAAGATATTTGCTTAATGTAATAGTAATAAAAAATTAGAAATTATATACTCCATAACAATAATTAGCCTTCGATTTTTTTTTTTGTCCTTACCTCGTGATTCTTTTGGCCCACAAAAGCAAACACAAAATAATAAACTACATAATCCAAATGGTATCATAGCAATTGACAATGGTATTAAAACCTGCAAAATTTTACATTTATTTTATCCGTCTATTTAATAAAATTTAAATTTAATCAAATATTAGGAAGGAAAGATTTGAAATTTAATCGTATTCCATTCAAGAATGATGATAATAATAGAAGGGTAAAAAAGTTTAAACCAATTCAAGTTGAAATTTATGACAGCTACGTTGTTCGATCGTTGATCGACGTCTTGTTCGATTTGAATGGATCATTTCAAAACTATTCGTATCATCAGTAAAACTAAAAATTATAATTAAAATTTGAAATGATCTAAAAAGAATAATAGTTAAACTTCCACTAATTACAAATTTAGCTTTTCATTTATTTATTCTGCTAAATACTTTGTTTCATCTTTATTATTTTTATTTGAAACAATAAAAATTTATTGTTGTTGTTGTTGTTTTTTATTTTTTCTTAATATTAAATATTTTGCTTTATTTTCTCCCAGTTTTATTGTTTATTTAAAACAATAAAAAATTATTGTTTTGGCTGTTTTTTTCTTTTTTTTTTTTCATTAAATACTTTCTTTTCTTTGTTTCATTTTCTTATTTTCTATCGAAAACAATAAGAATTTATTGTTGTTATTTTTTCTTTTTTGTTTTGTTTTTTTCTTAATATAAAATTTCATATAATTTATTAAAAGTTTCATAAATGATTGTATTACAATCGTTATGAAATTGTTGAAAATTTGCTAAATTTAGATAATTTCACTAAAATGTACACATAGTTAAAATTTTTTGCAACAATATAATGATTTATGAAATTTAACTGAAAAGGAAAAATGGGAAAAAAAAACCAGTTTACAAGTTAACGGGTAATCATGCTTTAAGTAAGATTTCCTCTTTTTTTTCCCCTTCTCTCTCTCTCTTTCCTCCTATAAATATACATATATATTTATATAAAAATTATTTGTAATGAATAATTCTTCTTTTTGATTAAAAATTTTTTGTGTAATTTTAAATTTCATTTCTAAATGTATTTTTTTTCAATTTCAGCTTTTTTTTTTTTTTAAATGAATACAAAAGAAAATGTATCATTAAATTGTAACTGATATAAATAAATAAAAGCTTACATTTTTTTTTTTCACCTCAATTACTTTCATATAAAATAGTCAATTTAAAATGGCAAAAAATCAATCATTTTAAGAATTTTAATAAAAATAAATTTTTGTTTTTGTTTTTTTGTTTTTTGTTTTTTTTTTTTATTAGAAGATCAAATAAACAAACGTTTTATTTTTTATTCTGATAGGTTTAAAAAAAAAAAAAAAGAACTGGTAATGTTTAATTGCGTCTGTCAAAATAAAATAATAATTACAGCTGTAATCATTTACTTGGTAATATCATTACAACC